GGAATAAAAAGATGACATAGGAGGACAGCGGGTCCCCAGTTAAAAAGCAACTAGTCCTCAGTCCGATGTGAGGAATGAATTGAATGATTGGAATTACCAAATGGTGGGAGCTGCAGGAAGAACACGGGAGAATGTTCATACACCAGAAATATTGTTTGCCGATGCCCAGTCAGAATACTGGAGTTAAATGGAATGGAGTTGATTTTTACCTTTTGCTTTTTTTTTTCACTTCGATGTCACCACAGGTTCCCATTGTGATTCCCATCATCGTCCTGATTGCTTCGGTGTATCTAGTCATTGCACCCATCATTGATGAGCCCGCCCTGGAGTACCTCTTCGCGTTCCTCTTCATCTTGGCTGGCCTCATCTTCTACGTCCCGTTTGTCCACTACAAATACGAGCTCCCTTTCATGAGTGAGCCTGCACAACTTTTTTTTGGTCCCTTGAAATGCTCTGGCAGCGTTTGCCGGTGTCTTGCGTGACCGCAGCCGTGGGGTCTGACATTTTAGTGTGGGCGCAGATTGCCCAAGGAAGAGTGATTCTATTGACAGTCCAAAGATTGTGAAGAAATCCAACTTTTGCCAGGTCTTTGTTTTTAAACAGAGACCCTGAACAAATTTCACTTCTTAAGATATCCTCAATCTTGTCGTGGCTCACAGCCAAGAATTAGCAAGCAGAACGAGGTGTGCGTTTATCCATGCGTAGTTGCACTCGGTGTAAATCTGGCTGTTCCCCGTCCCCACCTCTCCATTCCTTCACTCCGCCCCATCAAGAGTACCTATGACTAGTTGAAAATTAGACTAAATCCCTGTCTGTGCCCTTGCCTAGTGCTTACTCGTTCGCCAGTTTCTGATATTCGACTCCATTTCTGTCTCAGGCTTTGTCTCCAAATCAGTCCCCAATTGTAGGTCTGAAGTATTCAAATTGAATAGAAGTATTATAATATTTTGGTCTTTTTGCATCTTATTTGATGTTCCTGTGGTACTATCGAACTTACTTTTGAGCTACGAACTTCAAAGTCAGGCGGTTGAGAAAGAGACAAAGGCTGAGATAGAGACTGAGATAGACCTTTCCTGGAGATACTCTTATTCAGACTATAAAATAGTCAGTAACGCAGAGGTTTTTAGTCAGTAACACAGAGGGTTTAGTCAGTAACGCAGAGGTTTTTATTCAGTAAGGCAGAGGTTTTTAGTCAGTAACGCAGAGATTTTTAGTCAGTAACTTGGAAGTTTTTAGTCAGTATACGCGGAAGTTTTTAGTTAGTACTGCAGAGGTTTTTCTCCATGGGGAAGATGAGTATAGAAAATGACATCTTTCACTGAACACTTTGTTATTGGTGTTAAACAATCAGGGCTGAGCTTTTTAGCTGATTTCAGCTTTTTTTGTTCCGGATTTCAGCTTTTTTTCCCTCACTGGCTGTTTACAAAAGTATAGGAGATTTTCAAAGTTCAGCTTCTTTAGACCTTTTCTCAGCTGTATTCAGCTCTTTTTATCATAGGTCTATCTCATGCCGAACATCACAGTGAACTAAATACTTTTCTACAACAGCGTTCCCCCCTTGCAAATATTCCAACCAGCGAATGATGTTCCTGCAAAAATGTCAGTCCTGTATACCCTGACCTAAACAAAGAAGAAACCCAGCGCCGTTTGAAATATTTAGTCTTAAAGCAATTGGTTGAATTCTTTCTCTCCCCAGAGCACATCACTGTATTTTTTCAGCTGCTATTGGAGGTTGCACCAACCAGCTACTTCGAGACCGAAGAACTCCAGAATGCATAAGCGCTACAACGTCTCGAGCACCTCACTTACCTTGTGCTTCCCTTTGGAAGCGCTTCGCAGTTGGATGGCGTTGGTCAGCCGGAGTCACATGACCAGCAGCTGCTGTTTGGATTGGCTGAATGCTACACATTTCAGAGTGGCATACAGGATATAGTCAGTTACAATTATAAACGTTTTCAACTCTTCATCTTGCTATTGTTATGAAAGCCAAATATCACTTGTAAAGTACCCCCCCCCAAATGCAGTTGAACCTTATATTTTGTTCAGTATCCGAATTCGTCAAATTCTTTATCTTTGATTTCTGTGAGCAGTATTCCTGCTTTAAAGGGTAGTGATAGTTAGTTGATATTAAAAATCAGTCAGAAGAGAGATAATCCTTGCCAGAAATAATTCTGAGTAAATTCAACAGATGAGAGTACAGGGGAAAAGAGCTCAGCTGATTAAAACTCTACGACAGTAATTGACAGTATTCTCAGGTTCAACTCAGTGGTTAGTCACAAGTTAGATGAGTACGTACTGGACTGTGCACCTAAAATCTGTCCCAATTCCATTCTTCAGAATTGAAGTGTTGTTTCCAAAACAACACAATCTTATTCAAATGTAAGCAACTCGTATTATTATTGCTCGTACTGATGAGGGCTGAAGCAAATGATAGCGAAGATGGGATGTTATATTGATACTTGTACCAGAAGAGAGTTCAAATTTGAGCCTGAATGAGGTCAAACCAGTATATCAAGTTTTCAAGTTCTCAAGCATGTAATGATTGTAGGTTGTTCTGAGCGTTCATTTTTGTGTAAATACATTTCAGTGGAAGAGAAACCCGTTTTGTAGATTTTCCCCACAATGCAAGTGCACTACATCAGGGTTTGCAATGTTTGGACGATTGTTTACTTCCAGTAACATTTTAACCTCTGTTTTGGGGGAGGGGGTTGAACTCCTCCCCCCTCGTTAGTCTGGTATGATATTTGGGCCGAGTTGCCCTTTCCGATCAATTGGGTGTTCAAGAAATCTCGGCCAGTGAAATCATCGAATGCATTTAAAAGTGAAAATTTGTAGAGACTAAGTGTCAAAAACTAGAACATCTTTTAAACACTGTATATATGTCGACCCCTTATAATTTACTAAGGCATTATATCTAGTCTCAGAGTTTTCTGTTTATTTTTAGGGGTTCGAGTATTGTTTGAAATCGGATTTTTTTTTTACTAAAGCTTAGACTTAAAACGTGTCATAGTATAGTCAGTCTGTCCTTGTTCAAGGTGTGCATTCGGACATGGACAAACTTATATTCTTTGGTACGACGCCATTTTGAAGCTACCTGTGGTACATGCATGAACTTGTGCCGATTGATAATTCTTATCGGAAGCTTTTTTTGTCCTATCAATTCATGTACTCATTTGTGGACATTTCGTGTTTAAATGGACGGTGGTATCACAAAAAAACGCCGATTCCTGTGGCTGCATGCAGGCAACCTCTCTCTACCAAAACTACGGGGTCCCCGCATGCCAATCTGAGGAGAATACACAGACAGGCGTCCGTACGTTAAAATCGAGGTGTGTAGAGAGCCGACCACGAAGGCATTGGCCGTCTGTCCACAGCCTTCCAAGGAGCGAAGAACCTGGAGAAACTCCAGTACCCCCGCGAGGAAAAAACCTCCCTTCAAGTTGTAAAGAAAGCAGTGTTAACTTCGGCTCTTTGTTCGAGAGCCAGTGGTGTCAGATGTCACTGCTGGCGTTATTTGAGGTAGCCTGATACCACGGACGTGTTGAAACAGGTGTTCCTTTTTCCTGTGACGAATTGGCTAGACAGAGACGTAGGAGATGTCTGCTGACAGCCATCCTGTTTGCGTAGGACCTCTTGCCTTTTTATAAGTATAACCACTAAGGTGACACTACTAGATTTTCCTCCGCATCAAAGGCCGAGTTCGATCCTCGACAACTTACCGGCCAGTAATCGATGTTGCCTGGTACGGAGGGTGTAGTTTGTGTACGGGTTTCTACCAGCAAAGATTGACCACTGCTAGACACTCCATCACTGATGGGATTAATGATTGAACATTTGGAGCTCAGTTTTGGTTGATACCCCGTGTAGGGCTTGTTCGCCAGAGGAGGACGTTTCTGACTTGAGACATTCATCCTGTCGGTTTCACAGTGCCAGAAATGAAATGACATTTCCGGAGTATTCGATTATGCCAAGCCACCCCCCCCCAAAGAATGATTGAACTGGTCTTGGAACTCGAGTGACGTCTCAGCATGGAGGAATAATCGGGGTTTTGGAACCTTCTTGTGACCACATATTGGTCATTGTTGTGTCGCGTGTTCGGCAACTGGGGTGAAATTAGCCAGAAAGCCGACACCTCTGACATCCCACAGCCGCTATCTTGACACTAGTCCCCACGGTGGCAAACAGGTGGCAAGTTCCCACACATGATTAATTGAAGGGTGGAAGAGAAAGCCTCGGGTCGCGTCTGCAGTTTTGTGAAAAGCAGTGACACAGTTCTTACGGAGTTTGTTGCTTTGTGAGACATTGCATGCGAAAAACACATTTATCACGACCACGAGTGCCGTGCAAGGGTTGGGGAAGACTTTTTGCAAAGTCCGGCATGGATTTCTCCACAAATGGTTTATTTGTATTTGGGGCTTGTGAAGTTAAAAGAGAAGGGAAGTCCTTTGAGTTTGAAATCATCCTTTTTTCTTCGTTTTAAACAAATCTATATTTTTGTCTGCATCTTCCCCGTTCGTGTGTATTTAAACACAAAAACGGGGATTGGTTTGGCTTCCGTTTTGATGTTTTGTTTTAAGTTGAATTGCTGTTTTGATTACATTTCGAACAATGCGTCTTGAGGAAATTTTCAAATTTGTAGTGTTGTAAAACTGATCTGCAACTGAAATTATATAAATATGTATTTGATTGGTGCGAATTTCTTGCATAAGAAAATGCTAGTTTGCTGTGATAATGGACAAAACAGTAGGAATGGTTTTATTCTAATCATATCTAGTTAAAAGTTATTTGGACAGTTGCACAATAATGATGAAATTATCTTCAATTCTGCTTTTGCCGAAAGGATTATTTGTAAAAATTTGTTTGCTATCCAGAAATCGATGAGCACCTGACGGCTGTAATGCAAGTTTGACTATCAATGCACCTGAAATGAAAAGAATATAAACCATTTTGACGTATTCAAAAGAGGTATATTTTGAAGACTAGAAAAAGTGTATATCCACTTGTATATAACAGCTCCTCCTAATTTTACTTCTTTAATTAACTAGATTGCCCACTCGAAAGAAGTAGTTTGAAGCCGTTTGTTATAATTTTACCAGTTGGAATTAGTTAAGACCAACATTACTTATCGAAAACTGTCCAAATATTATTTTAATAATCCTGCTCGTGAAATTCGTCGGAAAAGCTTGTTGCAGCTGTCATGGATTTTTTTTTCAAAACTTTCTTTTAGGCCCAGTGCCACTGCCGTGACGTTGTCGTTCCGAACTTAATAGACCTTTTTACCAATAAATTCAAAATTATGCACGCATGCGCGCAAATGGCCTTGGCGGCAAGAAGTGTGAGCGGGCCGTTGAAAGCATACGATATATACAGGGGTGCGATTTCTGATCATTTTTGTCTTGGTTTTTCTGGCTTTGTTGGGTTGTTTTCTTTAGAAAATCCCATGTAATCGTTTTCGCTATTAGTTTCTAATCTAAGGGGGATTTTCAGTGCTCTGTAAAAAGACTCTACAATCGTGATTTTTCCTGTGCGCGCGAGATTGCCGTGTCTAAGCTGGTCTCCTTTCGTGCAGTTTTATAGACAAAGCGACTTAATAGGATTTTCATGCGTGCGTGCAAATTATGAATTTATTAGTGAAAAGGTCTATTAAATGAGCGCGGAAAAATCGCGGCAGTTGCGCTCAATGTTGAATTTAAATAGAGCGGCGTCATGTCTCTGCCCATCTAGAACGACGATAGCGCGGCATACCTTCTTGAGCGAAAGGGCATGCCGAGTGAAATTGCGCTAAACGCCTTGCTATTGCCCCACCGAACCGAATGAATCGAGTCCGGCAAGGCAGTAACACCAACTACACACTGGTGTAGCTAGTGGATGGATTCGTGTGAAGGAATTGAGCTGTAAGATTATCTATGTGATTCATTCACGAAACTGGCCAGCGGCGAAAATGGCATTTGAAATGACCATGAGAATAGATGTGAGCCAAAATGACGGCGAAAACAAACGGTGAAAGAATAGAAGAATTGAAGAATTGTTTTAGGTTGGTCCAGTTTTATTAGTGATAAAATCAGTTACAAGCAGACAGTTATGATTATCTATCATTTTAAACCCGGTGCTAAATTCTCTGTCAGCGTCCTCGAGTAGATAAAAGCCTCGGGCAAATCGTTATATTGTCATGAAGGCATTGGCGACTTAAAACTTGTCGGTTTAGCAGGTGGGCCTTGTTGATAAAGTAGTATTTGAAAAATTTCATAGCTATATTTTAGTACTTGCACCTTTCCAGTTTGAAAAAAAAAGTTTATTCGCTTCATCTCTCATCGATAATTACTGCTTCGCAGCATATTCTCTCACTAATGTAATGTCGAATTTCCCTGCATTTGCTTTCCCTCAAGTCTGACTTGATTGTACATTAACTGCAGCGTCGCACAACGGGCGATTCACAACAGTGCGCCTCCAAAAGTTTGCAACGCGTTGATTAATCACAGTGCGCGAAATCTGTCGACCAATGTGCGTTTGGAAAGGGTCGACAGATTTCGCGCGTTGTGATTGGTCAGCACGTTGCAAACTCTTGGGGGTGCACTATTGTGAATCGCTCGTACTATGTATCCTATTGGAAACTGTTCACTAAACAGCGTACTGTAATGTAATAAAAAGTATTTCTTGAAAATATATGCACTGTTGTAGTTAAGCAGGGGCGTTCTGGAATAAGAATGTTCATATGAATAAGGAGAATTATTGAGTACTGGAACTATGTAGTTTTGTTGTAGTCGAGTACATTTCCCATGTAATAATAGCACTTTGAAAAATTAAGAGTTCTACTGCGCTGCGAAAAAAGCTGGAACTTTACAATTACACTGAAGCCGGTGGAAATGCATGATTGATTTCTGAAGTTAGTTGGTTTCATCGCTGGAAGAAAACCACCCCGTATAAAAACCTAAAAGAAAACAACAGAAGAAGATGGACGACGCTATTATCATCTCCATAAACGTGCAGACGATGGACTGGTAGTTGCTTTGCGGGAACCATAATGCGATCTTCTGCCGTAGATACAAAAAGGAAACTCAAGGGAGCTCTCCGAATATTTGATGAACATTGGTGCGCCGAGACGAAGCGACAATGCTGCAGTGTTCCTCTTCATCATGATTAATTGATCATTTCCATCCATTAATGTCTGTTTGCATTTGAACGTGTACAAATACAGGTAAACGAAGGAAAAGGGGTTTTCAACATTAATTTTTAATGTTGCTTCCCCGGGCCAATAATATGAATAATTCAACTAATACCATAATCCCATGATGAACAGCCATCAGCTTCAAAATAATAATACGTAGTACAGAAACAATGCAGCTCTTTTTCCCTTCTGGCGATGTCCATGTGTTGAATTTCATCAACACCAAGCAGGAATTTTAACCTTTCTTTATGAGGATATTGTGGGAATGAAAGAGTTTCTGCAGGAAATCTGTGGTAAATATTTTTGCATTCTCTGCTACACGTTTTTTCATTTCTACTGAGGTTTAACACTGATGCCAGATTTCCAACCGAAGACCTGTTGCGCTCACAGATCTTTTGTTATGCGCCGTCTCGTTATACGCCTCTTACATGAATGCGCAGCGACGTAAGCCGTAAAGCAATATTGTCAGAGACAAAGCTGTCTTACGGACATGAAGAAAACAATATGCGATATTTCTTGAGCTAACTCGTACGCACGACGTACGTCCGTACGACTTCAGGGGCGGACGCATGAGGAGGGTCAGGCCTATCATAAAGTACACATACTTGTGCGCTCAGAAATAACTCCGGATTAATATCATGTGCCTGGACTTATTACGTACAGCGCGTTTAGTACACATAGACAATTAGCACAAAATAGTTGCACGCTCACTGCACTGTACATAATGAACAGCCATTTTGATTCCGAAGTCTGACGTTGGCTCCAGTCTCTATATTTAGCTTTGGAGTGTTCTTGCCCATACGATGACAGTGTCCTGACGACAGACAGAGCATACCGTCCAAAACGTTCAGTACCCTCCGGTTCTTTTCAGAGCCACTCAAGCTCAGAAAGAGATATCTTGCCCTTACGGCCACCGCAGGCTTAAAGGGGGCTTGGCTCGGCTGAAATCAGCATTGACGGTTGGATGAATTAGACCTCGTCTTTTTCAGGTCGCAGAACGCGCCCCCTTTTTTAACGTCTTGAAAACTGGAAGAAGGAACCTGTGGCCTGCCCAGCAATCGCGGGGGTTTTCAACCATGTTTCAAACACTTATCACATGCCGAAGGCGAAGGTCGGACATATATGTAGAGAATACCTCACACAAGCGCGCGAATCATTTCGTTGGTACAGCTGTCGCGATCGATTGCTCATAACCAGCCGGTTGGAGCAAGGTTCATCCACCGGGTATAAAAACCATTGACCTTATTCTTTCGATTTTTAAAGGCATGCATATCAACGCAACCTTTTTGTACATTGCATTTGGAAATGGTGTAAATTTTTCAGGGCGAAAAAGTACGTTAATTTGTGAACGGGGAGTCACCGATTACTCAAGGTGTCGTGCAAAGTCGATTAAAATGCCTCTGAAAACTGCTGGGCTTCTCGGTATACAAAATCTGAAACAATTTAGGCGGCTCTCGATTAATCCGGTCGAATACAAGTTCACTTGATTAGTCACGATTAGTCAATGTTCTGAGTGACTAACCAAAGGTTAAAGAATGGCTAGTTGAATTGTCCTTCGAGACTAACTATCCGATTCATTGAAATACATTAAACAGGTTGATAAGGAAAAATATGACTCAAATGCGAAAATTATTTAAAAAAAAAAGCCTGACAAATTATTCAAATCAGTCATGTGAAGCACCTGAAGTTTCATGTGCAACTATTCAGAGCCAAGATAAACGGACATTCAAGCAGATGGGATCATTCCCTCTCACGTCATACGAGATAGCACGTGCACGACACGAGTTTTATAGCCTTGAACATGATCAAACGACGGTAACATTGACCCAACCACGAGAAGGACAGCTTCACATCTGCGCCACGAAACGACCTGTTTTTTCTTTTTCATTTTGAGAGAAATTTGCCGTTCATCCAAACTTCAGACACAAGCAGACGAGAGATCTGAGGAATAACTGCCGATCGTCCGTTGCACGTGCAGACGCACGGTTATTTCAACCTGGTTCTGTTTTCTTTCGTGTCAAATCACAGAAATCGGTAGGACAGCATAAAAACTTGTTTAGTCTGGTACCTTCTCTACATTTCAAATTGGGACCCCCAACCCCCCCCCACCCCGAAAATGGGAAAGATAGGTTTTCCCGGCCAATGTCGGAAAACGCGCGGTTTAATTTGTAAAATAAAAATTAAATTTGGCGTGGATTTTGAAAACGACTTAAAACCTGGTGTTATTTTCGCAATACGAGCATTCGACTTCGTTTTGCATCCTTCAAATGACTGTGATTTATGTTTCATTTGAGAGGTTACAAATAAGTGATATAAAATTTCTATTTGACGTGTTCGTTGCCAATTGTACAAACGCGCATCCTTATTAACCGAAATTCTGCCTTTTACCGTAAATCGTTGGTATTGATTATTCATTTTCATTTGCTGTAATTCAAATTCACAAAATGTGCGTTCAATTTGATTAGAAATATAAAGGGTTACAGAAATCATGACATCACTTTGATAACAATGTTACTCATGAAGAATTATAGTGTGTTTGTTATCAAACTGTACACCAATTAAAGTCAATGATTTTTCTGTATCTTCCCGTTCAGCCATTGCAAGAAGGCCATGTTTTAACTTTAATGTGATTGTGGCAAAAACGTAGCACGAGAAGGAAAGGTTTCCTTAGCGTCGGTGTTTGTAGACGATTCGTACAATAGTCGGTATGTTTTTAAAGACAACATGAATGGTCTGTTTCAGTCATGAATATTCAAACATTTACTCAACTAAACACTTCTAAGAATATAATTTAATAATATAGCGCACAAACGAATCAAAAATCTTAACCAGGCATAGGCCTACCTTAAATAACACTTCGCGCGAAATGGCTTGTACATTTTGCGAAAAAGATTGAGCTCAAATTAAGATGAATGCAGGATTGCGGTGGTACATTCCATTTCGCGCCAAAATGAATGTTAACATTATGTTAACATTCTAAACCAGTGCAATACCAGGAAATTGATCGCTGACCCCATACGAATGAATGCACCCTCACTGAAAGAGAATTTTTATTTGTTAAATAGAAATGGAAATTTGAATGTTCGTTCCATTTCTCTCGAAAACGAATGCTGCATTACTACAGTGTAATTCCTTTACACATTCTCCGAAATTAGCCAGGAAAACTTATTTGCTCCAAATACGCGACCGCACACCTGTTCACTATTGGTAATTAGAACCAAGGTAAATGATATCTTTGTTTGGGCTCCTGATCATTGTCTAAAAAACGAGAAAATTTGAAATTACTGATTACTTTTTGACACTTTGTTGTCTTTTTCAATTGGCTTTGGCACTCCTTCCTTATCTCTTAGAGGACCCACATCTCTTACACCACAACACTGCGCTGAGCTGTCACGTCGTCCGTCGTCTTTGCTGTTTTCATTTTGAACCTCGTCGATTGCGTTCTTAATGCACTGGTAGCGTGTACAATAACTAGTGGGCACTACAGCTCATTACAGAAAAGTTCCAAACGTTTCATCGGGTGATAATGCGAACGAGGCTTTTAAGGTGGAGAGATTGTGATAACAAACAGGAAAAAACTGTAATTGTTTTATAATTGTGCTCTGTGTTTATGCTGAATTGGTGACGCTTAAACTCAACCGACTCGCCAACAGGCAATTTTGCCTGCGCAATGACAAATGGCTGCCGTCCATTCGGATTCCGCGAGTGGTTCAGCCACAACCTCGACCCGACACTGACGCTACAAAATGAAATAAAAACGATTATCCAATTAGGGAGTTGAAGTGATGCATCTTCGGCTTGATCAGGGCGAACGTGCGGACGAGGCGCAGCGGGTGACCTCGGTCCAGTAACTGGTAGAGACGGCAGAGCACTCCGACGGACTCGCCGTCGCACATGAGACCGGGGAAAATTTTAGCACCTATCTCTTACTTCTTTTTTTTTTTAAATTAATTCAACCATTGCTGGGCTTCACACCTCGACCCTGTCTTACACGTCTTACATTTGGGAATGGTGGTAAGGGGGACATCTGGTTTTTTTTTCCCTGAAGTCAAGGCAGATTTTCAGGGAGGCTTACAGGCGTGCGACTTCGCATCGAAACGTCATTGACAAATTTGCCCCACGAGAACCCAGTCGTCGGGAGTGCTGCACCGGATGAGAACTCTCGTGGTTTTTGTGCTGCCTCTTTTCGTGATGTTTTGATGTCCTTCCGTTCCTTAACGGTTTGTTCAAGCCAGATTGTGTTCAAGCCTGGGAAGTATTGTGAAAATTACTTGCCGACCTCAAGCAGGGAAGGAATTACGCTTCATTCTTGGATGCAATCTCGAGATAGACCCTCGAATGAAAATAATCAACGAGACTGACTATTTCGCCTTCAGAAAATAAACAGGGCACGACTCGTCGTCCTAGAACGCACGATGGAATATATTTGGACCAAATATAATTGCGAAGGGAACTGAGGGGCATCGTAAGTGTGTGATAGTAGGTGTGCTTTGAATGCGCCCCAGACTCAAGGACCGTGTGTGCGAATACGGGATTCAGAAGAGCTGTCGCCGTTTTAATTCACTGATGAAATGATGCTCGAGTCCGGCCTTGCGACCGACACATCTTTCGAGGGAAAGCTGTTCTTGAGAATCTCCGGGAAAAGATATTAATGTTTTAACTTCGAAAGACGGGCCAACGGATAGTTGGCTTGAGCGTTACGATCTTGAACTTAAAATAAGGAACAGAAAGAAGTGTTTCGTACACGGGGGGGGGCTGTTGTTTGCAAATTCTGCGGTGAGATTGTTGCAGTCATCTCGACCTTGATTCATCGTTGGGTCTGCACGCCTTTCGAATAGGACGAGTGGAAGCTTATTTTGGAAATCCTCTCTGAAGGGGGACAAATTTCGAGGTAACTTTGCAAATATACACCCCATATTTAGGGCTAACACGCTCCATTACACATGAAGCATCCTGTCATCGTCACCCACTGAATTGAAGCTCGAATTATTTGCATTCAGGTGGTACTTGGCGAGAACTTTCACGGCCGTTGAGTTGTACCCGGAGATGTCACGGTCGAACTCAGCGACATAGTCGGAGTGTCACATGCAGAGGGCACCAACTGTGTGACAGGTGGTTCTCCCGCCGTGGAGTCGTTATAACGTGTAGCTGAGAACTCGAGGTGATAGTGGGGGAGAGACACATCCATACTGAGTAACGCAAGGTGAAGGCCGACTTCAACCGGACTCGCTCTGGCTTGCTTGGGTATGCTTCCGTGGACTGAGGAACAGTCAACGTTGGCAGCACACATCGCTCGGTGGTCACCTTAGCACGGACCGGTACTTTTAACTCTGGAACTCCCCTGAAAGACAGTATAACTATACACAAATTTAGTTACTCGAGGTAAGTGTGCTTCTGACGGGTTGTCGTATTTTGTTAGATTTCTTGGAATTGACAGTGATAAAAGAAAATCAGACAACAATTACAAGTGTTGCAGTCAACCGACCCCGAGACCTGGAGACGTCAGACTGATGTGATCATCAATGACGCAACACGTCATCAAATATGATATTTATTGAGAGAAAATTGTATAAGATTTTGGAACCCGTCTTGACTTCACCTTTATTTCCAACATTCCATCTTTGCGGAGCTAGGATAACTGTACGTTTTATATATTGTATTGTGATTTTTTAGAAGATTACATCGCGAGAAACTTAACTTGGCCTGAATAATACGTGCATTGAGACACAAAGGTATCCAACCATATATTCCACTTATTACGGGTCTTGAAACTGACACAAAATAAAGCAAAATGGAGAAAATATGAAATGCTTATAAAATAGAGGCATTTTAGGAGGCGGGGGTGGGACCATGCCCTTGGAGAAATTTTGTTTTGTCATGTTTTGTTTTCAGAAAAGCAATTTTTTTTGGGGGGGGGGTTCATACAACTCGAAAACCCACAAAACTTAGCTCCACCCCTCAGAATAGCCATGAAAAGCTTTTGTTAGAAATTCGAAACGTTTGATCCCTATTAAAACACACCCAAAGAAATTAGGTTCTGGATCCGTCCTTGAACATGGGACACTTTGTATGTGATAACATTGCATCATGGGCTGGACTGATTATAGTCGAAATGTACTTGGCTCAAACGGATGTACACAAGTAATTGAATTTTTATTAAAATGGCATCTAAACTGGAACGTCCTGCATATATTCACAGCGAATTTCAACTTGAAACAAAGAGGCACAAAATGAAACCATGGGCATGCACAACTGGCAGTTATGAGATTTTATACTTTTCGTTTTTCAAAAAGCAAAACGAATGCACAAAATCATCGATCAACAAGGAATTCTTAAATTTGAAGACCGATATGGTGCTTGAAGCTTACATTAGCATTTAATTAAAAGAGAACACACTGTCAACGTTTCAAAATTCAACGTTTTCCTGAAGACTGCGAATTATTACTATTACATAATATGACTTTTCCAAGTCATACATCATCAGCAGCGTGAGCATATTGAAAACACTTTTCATGTTTATAACAATCTGCAACCACGTATTCACCACTTGACTAATAAGGGCTATCAGTCTTGGCCGGACGGCAATAGCTATGAATTCTGGCGGGAAGCGGCCAAGGGTGATTAAATCAAAAGACACCAAGTACTGCCAAGAGTAGGTATTAAAATAAGTTAATGGCTTTCAAGGTTAAGTGTCAGCATTTTAATTTGATAAGGAATGAATTTTTAGCACTGATTTTTATTAAAATCTCTTGGGCAATAAGTCAATTATTAATCATTTTCGAGCGTTTTGTATTACAACCACCGCATGCAAGCAAAAACTCTCATGTCATATCTGCACATTTTACGGGAAAGCTCTTAAGAAATCTACATTTCTGTTTCCCTACGCTTGGAAGCCAGAAAGACTGAACCGAACTGCGTGATAAATTTACGCTATTAGCCAAACACATGTGGCACTTTCTAGTGATTTGCCCTTCTGGTTTCTGCTCATTTTATGGGATGGATTTACGCTGTAATATCGTTCCCTCGGGCAATAAGTCAATTATTAATCATTTTCGAGCGTTTTGTAATATCGTTCTTGTTTTATTTACAGCTCACGGCAGATGTAATGAAATTGCAAGAAGTTGCAATGAATTTTTGCGGTGCTGTGATGCCTTTATTGGTTATGCTGTTGAGCGGGCTATCCTTCAGCTGCGACACGGGAAATTCAACCACTTTCGGTAACCAAACCATCATGTCTACTATGTCCAGGAATTTTTCACCCCCAAACTCTCGGCTTCAAGACCACACCTCGAAAGGTAGACCGGTGTATGGAAATAAAGAACTCGGCATCAGGGACATGGAAGATAATGCTTCAGCTTTGTTAAATTCAAACCTCCATCGGAAAAATACAGAAGGGGCTGACGTAAAATCAAAACCTATTATTAATGACTTCGGACCAAGAGCAATGAAGAGACGGCATTTGGAAAGAAGCAAGAGGGAGGCTGACCCACCGGCCTTTACAGAGTCAAACCCGGAATTGGAACCAGCAGCTGAACCAGAGTCAGAACCGACAGCTGAACCAGAATCAGAACCGACACCAGAAGCAGAATCAGAACCAACAGCTGACCCGGAGTCAGAACCAAGGGCAGAACCAGATTCTGAACCAACAGCTGAACCAGAGTCAGAACCAACAACTGAGCCAGGGTCAGAACTGACATCTGAACCAGAATCAGAACCAACAGCAGAGCCAGGGTCAGAACCGACAGCTGAACCAGAATCAGAACCAACACCCGAACCAGAGTCAGAACCGACAGCTGAACCAGAGTCAGAACCGACAGCTGAACCAGAGTCAGAACCGACAGCTGAACCAGAGTCAGAACCGACAGCTGAACCAGAGTCAGAACCGACAGCCGAACCAGAGTCAGAACCGACAGCTGAACCAGAGTCAGAACCGACAGCTGAACCAGAGTCAGAGCCGACAGCTGAACCAGAATCAGAGCCGACAGCTGAACCAGAATCAGAGCCGACAGCTGAACCAGAGTCAGAACCGACAGCTGAACCAGAATCAGAGCCGACAGCTGAACCAGAGTCAGAACCAACTGGCGAACCAGAATATCGACCTGAAGGTGAACCGCAATCACAGCCAACTAACGAGCCAGAATCGGAACCGAGCGGCATTCCTGAACCCGAGGCTGAGCCAAGTGCAGAACCTGAATCCGAGTCCGAACCTGAACCAGTTGGCGAAGACTGGCCGGAACCAGGCCCAGATTGGAACACCCTTCCCGAACTGATAGGTGTAGCTTTTACGTGTCACGTATACATATTTGCAATATACTTCTCCCTCCTAACACTTTATGGACTGCAGATCCTCATTGCTTTAATCTTCGAGTTCAAGAAAGGTAACCGCAGCGTATTGTCCCTGACCTTCAACACACTCCTGTTTCTGCTAGGCATGACTCGAGCTGTGTCGCTTTTTGCCAACCCATACGGATCCTATCAGAACCTGCCCATGGTGCTTTCTCGCATGATGTGGTCCGTCGGCTTCCCGTGTCTGACAGCAGCAATGACCACAGTTCTCCTGGTCTTGCTCGACACCACGAGGCTCTCTCTCGGCCCACCAAGATTCCAGAAGTTTTCCACGGTCTCCATCTGCTGTGCCGGTCACTTCATAGCGGTCCTTGGCAGCGATTTGCTGGTGTCTGCCTTCATCGATCTGAAGGTCATTCTCGTCATCTGCCAATTCATCTACGTCGCTTGGAGTGGCTCGCTGGCCGTCGGATTTTTCCGGGTGAGCTACAAGATGAAGAAGAATTTTGCCTCGACTTTTGCAAAGAAGGGAATGAGAGGTGCGTATCATTTAAATGTTCCAGGAAATAATAGTTACAATTGCAGAAGATCCCATAATTCAAGAGAAAAATCGGCGATGCCTCAATGATAAAATTCAAAATAAAACTTTTAAGTTTCAATCTAGGATCCAATGACAATTTCGTCTGAGGGTCTGAAGTCTATTTCGTTTGGTTAAACTGTACATATAGTTTAGTCGGTTACAGCTGCATCTTTAATCGTACATTCTGGCCTTCATTTACGGAAAACCTATAGATCCAAACCGCGTCCATAATTATAGCGCACAAACCATCAGTTCTGATACTCATGGCGCTGTTAACTCAGAACACAATATAGTATAACAAAGAATAACGGAAAAGAAATGCCCAAATAAAATCAGTACGATATTTAACATTAAGGAGCGTGACCTGGCAAGTTTTCAATTAAGCTTGTGATCTGGAAGTACCGGGCCATCTGACGTAAAGAGATAGGCAGGTCATTGGCTGATGTATGAAATTACCACAGGAGTGTTTGGTTGCTCACGGCTGTGTGTTTATGACAAGATTGAAGGCTTTGCAATGGTTTATACGGATAAAGTTTGCTTGAAGATAGGTTGGTGCAGTGCATGTAATGAGTGATACTTAAGGCGAAGAATTTTAAATCTTATTCGTCTGCTGACCGGGAGCCGTAGGAGAGATTGAAGGACGAGTGGCATGTGGCTAGTTTTTTTTTTAGTTTAGATATAATTCTCCTGGCGACGGACACAGCATACTGTCCGAAATGTTGAGTACCCTCCGGTTCTTTTCAGAACCACACAAGCTCACACAGAGATATCCCTGCATGGTACTACCACAAACCTCTATAACGAACTTGCTACCTTCAGCATGGAAAGCTTCGCAGCTCTCAAATAATGCAGCCTTTTCATTCGTATTTTTCGTTGGGTCCTTTTTTTTCTTGAACCTTTCTCTACCAGGAGGAAAGGAGCAGAAAGCTTCTCCACTGAGGCTGTATCGGATGGTTATCTACTGCGGCCTAGCAGCTCTGGCAAGCTGTGCCACCAACCTATATGGAGCCGTGGGCGTCTTTGGTGTGTACTCGGACCTGGAGTTCGTGGAGGCCTGGCCCTGGTGGATCTTCCAGACCGCCATGAGGGCGGAAGAGGTAGCCATGTCGGTCCTGGTGGTCCTGCTGGCCGGCAAGGCGGGCAAGGATGGCTTCGGCCGGTTTGTGGGACTCCTCTGCCGGTCCACCCGCCCTTGCCTGGCCAGGATCCGGCGGCTCAGGGCCGGTCAGGTGCGACCGGCGTCTCGCAGCGTGTCCCCTGGGCGCTGGGCGGTGTCAGGCAGCGGTTCCACAGAGAAGATGATGCTGAGTGAGGACCGGTCGATGACCGTTGGGGTGACCATCGCAAGCGATGCGGTGCATGACATGGATGGTTCGGCCAAGAAATTCCCGTACCCAGACGACAATCTTCCCGTAGTCGCTGAACTGTGAAGATATATGGTTTTGGTTTTCAGAAACAACTATGGCGGCAATGAATGGACATGGGCAATCGCTTATATTGACGTCAATATTCACGTTCAAAATTCACGAGAAGAATATCAACGCCAATATCCTATTGAAAGTTATGCATTTAGATATGAATAGTTGACGTCAATATTGATGATTGCCCATGTCCCTTCAGGGCCACCGTAAGCCACGAAGTGTAAAACGTTTGGCATATTTTCTCCTTGGTTCCAACCGTTATATCGGTCCTATACATGTAGGGCACCTGCCATCGCTCATAAGTTTACCTCAAGAGACCTTTGTCTAATACAGACTGATATGATCCGAGGAATCGCCGTTTAATTAGACCTGCGCGAAAATACACCACCAACGTGTCTTGATCTCATTTTCTTTGGTGGACCGAAGTGCATCGCGCGTGCGCTCACTCTCACATTAATACCCTGGGGAATTTCATTTATTCTCGTGTAGTAAAACATTAACGTGTGAAGCTCAGATTTCTAATTGCTTCCATTTGATCCTTGACCATTTTCCTCAAATAAAATTCTAACCGAACGTCGCCTATATTAAATACTTCAATCTGCGACACATAAGTACACCTTCAAAATTCATTATATTTGAATAATTCCAAATATCACTTTCTTGAAATTCTTGTAGAGCACCGTTTCAGTGCGCCACATGTACATGTACAACGAATGTTCCTCGTGGAGTACCTCCTATTGTTTCGGTACCCCACAGGGTACCACAAATACACTCATCGGGGCGAGCAGGCCCAATATGTACTTTAAAAACCGGGGGAGGGGGCCAATCAACAAATTTAAAATTTTTATCGGCTGCCTCTACCACAGTTTACTTTTGAAAACATCTGGAAAACTTGAAATCTTTTGCTTCGGGGCCTTTAAAAAAATCGAAACGTAAACGTCTCTCCACAGCTTTGGACCACCCCCCTATTTTGGCGCACTCTGTGACGATGTGTCAATTTTTTCCAGGATTATTTCAGAAATAGGCCCACCTTGCCACATAAATAGAATCTGCCTTGCATTGTTTTTCCCAAAATTGAAAAAAGTAAGTTTTTGTCATAAGTATGAGACAAAAAACGAAATCAGTAACCCTTATTATGGGCCTGTTTCTCACAGATCTGGATCTCGATCCATGATACCTAAGCTGATCTATTCGCGCTATCCGTTCTAGGCTGTTTCTAGTACAGTGTCGATGGACCAAATTTGGATCAGCTGATTACGATCTGATCTGCATGAAACAAACAAGCCCAAAGTATTCAATTAACCCGTTGAATCGGACATATGCAGTTGCAAAGTGCTGGCTGAAACATATGTAAGATGTACTCTGTGTTTAATATTAGACTGTACATATCGCGTCATGAAGATGCCGACTGACCTATGTCGTCATCCTGCCTAGTCTTGTTCCAAGACCTTCGCATTGCTTTAAGCCGAAATTGATTACTGAAGACTACAGAATGCACTTTATATATTTTACTTCATTTCTGACTTTGAAGGGTGCATCCAAGCACACCAATGATATATCCCATACTTCAAAACTCTTTTAAAATTACTTAGAATTTGCACGGGTGTTCAGGCTGCACAGAAAAGTGATCATCAACATGTCATCATTCAATTTCTTGTCAATTTTTGGTGAGTTGACCTGTGACGGTTGGACCCAAAGCAGACATCCCTAAAACACGTTGGAAAAAGCATTTTGAAAAGGACCCCGCCATAACATAGCTAAATACTGCCACTTTCGGACGCAACTGCATCCAACATGCTCTGCGCGTCTAGGCCAGAGTTCCAGCGTCATATTTCTTTTCTTCAATTCTCAAATTCCATGGCTTTCAGAACTCTCTGATTAGAATATTTCCAGTGTAAAAATTTCATTCATGCACTCGAACGTACAGACGGATTTTCTCTCTTTTTACGTGGTTGCATCCCAATTAATGATTGCAGCTCTTCTAGAGACAGCGCCCTCTAACAATGATGGTTTGCGATCGCAGACTAAACTGCAGGAAGGTTCCGGAATCAAGGCTACACCCTGTCTCGATTGTAGGACGTGTAGTCAAAGAGGTACCTTCGGTTTTACCAGTGAATGCGAAAATTTGCATTAGCACAAACTCCAAAGGTCACCAACATACCTTTTGAAATATAAATTCTAACTTTGAAAATAAGGTCAATGGGAGACTTTTAAGACGCCTGGTGGCGGCAGACAAACGGGTCCTTTTCCGGAGTTGTGCGCATGACCCATCAAGCAAAAATGAATGTTGTGTCTGCTGCCAACATGCGTCTCAAATCTCCCACTGAAACATAAGTGTGTGTTTTCAAGGGCTGTAGTAAAACAAGTGTATTGGGTGTACCCTTTAATGCCTACTGCACTGTAGATAACAGACCTAAACCTCTAAAAACGATTAAAAAGCTAGGAGATGAAAAATAATCCCCGTTGCAATAGGATCACAAACCAACCACAAAATGCTATCATGATCGACACTGAAATATATACACACATTGTAAAGCAGGGTATATTAGTTTTATTGATGAGTGTGTAAATTAAATAATAAAATCAGAAAACATTTCACAATAAAAGTAAAAAGCATGACGTTCTCTTCCAGTAGCTAGTACATTCCCTGTCATTTGTAATTATACAAACTAATGTGACTTTTTTTCTAAATTAGATTATGTCATATTTCATTGTTACATTATAATACTTAATGGAATAATAACGATTGAAAAAGAATTACCACGACAGTTATGTGCTTAAAAATAATGTAGAAAGAAATATATTAGCATTAGCAACCTGCTTAAAAACTGAGAGAGAAAAGAGAACACTAGATTACAGAAGGGGAGACCCTTTTTAATAGTTAAGAGGGCGCTCTAGCTCGTTCGTGCTTTCTTTTCAGGTTGGTGATGGCTTTAGTTCCTTTTTCGAGTATCCCGGCGCGGCGGCCCCCAACATTGCCTCAAATTGGCCAAATCACACCAGGCTTGTCCTGGGGTTTACTGTTTAAAAGGGTTATGTGGCAGCATGAAAAACGAACCGCATTTCTGACAAATAGCTCTCGATCTTGAAAGAAAACGAGCTGCCAGATACAAAACAATTATCAGTCTTCCAGAAAGTATCACCGAAGATCTGAGGGGAATTTGACACAAGTGTGAAAATTGGGCAAAAAGTAAAGTAATAACACGGCAAATGACGAAAATGGGTCCCAATGAAAAACAGAGTGAATTTAAAAAAACGGTTTGGAAGTAATAACCTTTTTTGTACATAAGAGTTACTAGTCTTTCATGTTTCATCAAAGTTATTTGAAGGTAAACTCGGCAAAATTGTGAAAATTAGACACAAAGTTAGGTAAAAAAAGATAATTTTTCATAATTATACTTTGTTGTAAAATTGACATTTTCCACTTTGATCTTTCTTACCAGAAGCTATTGAATATCACCATTTGATAGACGCTTGGCAATTTATTCACACACGAGGTCTTCAAGGGAAATGGCAGGACAATCCCTGACACAGGTCACCACCGATGCGCGTCGCCTGCATTGATCTCTATTACATAGACTGGATAGCCATGGCGTCCAAAACGCGTATGCGTATTTTCAGGAGGCAAGCGTTACGAATTTCGTTGCGTGTATGTTCAAATGGAGTTTTTCAAAAACCGCTTGAGGTTTTGTGCTTCAATTGTTAGATTGCGAAGAAAAACTGAATTCTGCACTTGGAATGGATAAATTTGGAAAGAATAACAGTTGAGGTGTACGCAGCAGTGAATTGCCGGAGATCAACGTCAAGTTTGGAAGAAGGAACAGAAGGAAATGCGAGTTGCACTTTTTTAGTATTTGAAAGTTCTCAAGTCGTACTTTATAATGCTTAATTTTTAAGCCTATATAGGCCTAGTAAGAAATTTATGACAGTCTATCTAGCCTATACGGCTCTGTATATGAAACTTCACTATCTCGAAGTTGGGACCTTCTGAAATGTTACTTATTGTTGGCAAAAGTGGCTTCAAAAACTGAATAATTTCCCCCAGATTCCACCAGAATAAAACGTCCATGACGGCCATGATTTGTGTTTGTCGGATGTAAAGACGCACTGAACCCAAATCGTGTGACAGACGATGTGATATGGGTGACAGAATTCTTCTTCGGGGCAGAGATGAAACCAAAGTAAGAAGTAGAGTGCTGACGTTTCTGTTGAATGAAGTTACAAACCCAGGGAATTCAAAGTCAACGCAATGAAAGAAAGTTTGTCTACACAACAAAATTATTCGTTCTCAGTTAAAACTGACTTTTTTACGCCGGAAAGTAGTTGTTAAATGTAATTCTTTAAGTCAGGTTGGTTGTGAACTCAACTTTTTAAGCTGATTAATAAGTGTCTGTTTTAAAAATGGCAGTAGGTTAGTTTGGTCGCTCATCTAAAGCTGCGCTCACTTTGTGCTCACAGAAAAGATTCTCACACTTCCGCATGCCGCAGTCGGTTTTCAATAAAATTTACTAAATATATGAATGAATTTTATTTAGTACAATTTTTCCTGAGAGTGTGTAAAATTAAAATCATTTTATTGATGATTTTTTTCAGTTGGCTCATCGAAGCCAGATGGAAAAACACATGGACAGTTTGGACATCATATTTACTGACAAAACCTATTGCACGTCCTGGTGGAAATCTCTCAGTTTTACACACTGAACAAATCAGGATTGAACCGACCCAAAGTGAAAATATTGCTCAAGCGAAACCGTAGACAATAGGTGTAAAAAATGAATTAAAACAAACACACACAAAAACAGGTTAACATTAACATCGCTTTCGAGTGGGTTAGTTAATAAGAAAATGGTCAGCACTATTATTGAATTCAGGACCTAAGCTATAGCTCTAGGACCTGTCCGAAATAAAACTTTTACAAATGAAATTGTTCAAAGCAATTGTTAACTTGATACTGGTTTTGTTATAGAAAACCTAACGACTAACGCACTTATTGGTGTAAAGGAACTGACAGCAAAACCGATGTGGATCGATCAAGTACTTGTTTATTTTCCAATTTTTTACATTTAAACCCAATATTGAGTCCAGTTCTGCACAATGGATACTTTATTTGCAAATACATGTACATGCAAGTTCAGAGTGAGGTGCAAATTTTACCTTGGGAGTCAAAAACACGTAAGGATTTTTTTAAATTAAACTGGCAATTTTCTAAAGGTTCCCCATTTGAAAGATGAGCTCAGCTCTTAGCCTCCTCCATCCTTCCTCAGCCACGCCCTAATCAAAATGACTGGACAAAAATCCCAAAGAACATCTGCTTGTGGTGCTAGAATTGTTTGTGATAATCACCCAACAACAGCCGGATCTTCCACGGCTGAGCATTCAACAGAGAGATCTTCCACGGCTGAGCCCTCAGCGGGGAGAGATCTTCCTCACATCAAGGCGTATCTCCAGTCACGATTTAGCAAGATTCAAAGGAATGAACAATACTTCCTGCCCTGTTGAAAATTTCAATTCCTTTTCAATTGTTTAATGAATATTTTACTTTTAAAAGATTTCTGTCACTTTTCAGTTGAATCTGCTCGAAACAAGCCTCCACAGTGCAATTTTTCTCAATTAAAAGAAAAGAAAATTTTCCCTTCCTTTTCATGACTTTTGCACTCAAATATTCAAATTCGACAAATAACATTCAAATATAGTCGATTGAATATTTGTTATTCGGATATTTGGCAAAGCCTTAAAAAGGTATAATGACAAACTTCTAATTATGTCGCTGGAAATGCCACTAAAATCACAACTCAACTGGAAATAAGGCCGCCGTTTTCACATTTTTGATGTACGGGTCAAAATCCCACTCAACAAAAAATGCTTTCCAAGGGAAGCGTCCAATAGTTTTTTAAATTGACAGGCTCCTTTTCGATTTCAGCCAATGAGAAAGCAACATTAAGCCAGCAATGCAGGGCAGTGGAATACATGAGTGTACGATAGCTTGACGACTGGTAATAAGTTTTCTGTCTGCGCATGATGGTATGCGTCAAACAAAACGACACTACATGCACAGTTCCAGCATTTTCAGCCTGCAATATCAGCCTTGCATAGACTGCAGAAAAACGGAACAAGTTTCTGCTGGGACCGAACCCACGGTGTATTCAGTTCTACACAACACCGAAACACATCCCCGTCATCAAAGTGGTGCATTGTACATCATGCGACTTGAACTGCACGCGCACCGAAAAAAAAAAAAAAAGCGTTGCAAACAGGGCTGCACAAAAAGTTGATTTGGGGGTCAAATGACAATGCACAGTGGCAAACCTTAAGTCCGATCTCTGCCTCTTCACGCAATGTGGGAGGTGGCTACGTAAAAATGAAATGCAATGCACTGGTGAAGAAAAATGTTGGAACCCGTAAGCGATGCATATGCTTCCAAATAAATTATGTTCAGAAACCCTGATGACACCTTTTGTTCACCACGATGGACTGTGGATGCATTTTTTGCACTCAAGTTACATGCATGACGGCCAAGCACTGAGGAGATTTCGCGGCGCAGGTATTGATCAAACTACAGCACACTCTCACGATTTTGTCCATGTGTGAATCAATGCGGCCATTACGCCGTTTCACAAGCTCAACTTGTAACCGTCCTTCCAGAATCTGGTACTTCTGTCGCAGGGAGCGTATGACGCCCTCGGTTTGAACTCTCACAATGCCGGCAATCCTCTTGGCACTGTCTTCACTTAAGTTGATGGCACAGAGCCGCTTCGTTCCATCGGAAATGTCTGGCGGGGTAACTTTGGCGGCGTACAAGCCGGACTGGGAGAAGTCAAAGTCGGGGGTGGAAAGCACGATGTCGTTGCAGTGCAAAAGATCGACAAGGCCGCTCTGCTTGATTAAACCCATCTGATCATTTGGAGCCTCTTTGCCAATCCAAACTTTGGACACAAAACCTATCAGGCCACAGGGACTCAGGCCAATTAGAAACTTCACCTCTTCGGGGTTCTTTCGATTTGACCTCTTGACCCAGCACCTGGGCCAATCAACATGCAGCTCGATACAGTGCACAAAGATCAGATTCCTGTGGTTGCCCAGCGCCGTCGCAAACTCCTTAGCGATGCAGCTGTCCATCAGATCCTTGTCTGGGAACATGATGAGGTGACTGAACCTGATGTCCATCGTGTCTATCCATCGCTCAAACAGCCGGCTGGCTGTGGCGGTTGAGACGTTGAACCTGTAGGCCAGATCCTGCAGCGGGAGATTGCGGCGCAGTCGCATTAGCACCATCACAAACTCGGAAAACGGGGTGAGGGCATTCCTGTGAGACCTGGCCACATGGGGCACGACAAAGTCAAAGAATGCTAGCAGCAGACCAAAGCAGGGTAGGCCGGTGTAGAAGCGGACCTTGCCGTCGTCGTTCTGGAAGGCCAACTCGTCCAGGAGGCTGCACGCCGCATTCTGCCGCAGCTGGTACAGCTCACCTCTCAGAGTCATCATATCCTCCTCGTTCAGTCGCATCTGACGCTGGGTCAGGTCAGTCTGGCACCTCACTTCTGTCATTTCCAAACAACAAGTGCTCAAGTTAAGTGGAGAAATTACAATCCAGGCTTCTTCTTTATGCAAAGCTGACAAAGACAATGAAAATATATTTACCCCTAACCCCCTAGGGTGTATGTAAAATTGTATTAAAATTGGAGGATTTGGGAGTGTTAGGGTTAATAAAAGAGGCAAGGGGAATGTCCCATTTCGAAATGTGTATTGCCACTGATGTCCCCTCTAAATGCCTTCATTAACTTTCAGTGAAACTCAACTGCTAAGGAATCAAATAGATCCATATATAAATTACCATCAAACCTGCCCAGAAAAACAACTCATGGGACACAGAAAGAGTGATTTTTATAGACAGGTGGTCCCTCTCCACAGGTAGTGGTACATGTCCATGAAAGTAATGTCAGTCAAACCTGCCTTAAAGTGACCGTTGCGTTCTTACTTCAGTCCCAAATAAAGTGAATGTATTTTTGTGTGATTTTGTCAAAACAAGAAACTGCATATTTGTTTTATTCATGTAATGCTTGTTTATATGGTGTAAATTTTTTGATATTTATTTTTTAAATTACTTTTTTCACACTAAAGCACAGAATCAAGAGCAATATGGGGAGAGGGTAGCGGGGACCGAGTCATTTTATTTGAAAACACTCAGTTTATTGTGCATGTTAGCTACGCTGGAGCAGTGCAAAATGATGGGGACTTTTCTCTATTGGCCCTGAAAAGCGCAGCTTGGCTTAGTGAGGCCTTTATAGCCCAACAGGGGTCAGTTCAAACTTCAAAACATTCAGAAGTGATGACTGGCTGACTCACTTTTCCACTTCGCGATGTTCCGGATCTGCGTCTTCCCGCAACAATGGCGGAGACCCTGGGCCCTCGCATTGAATAAATGCGCGGCAGCACATCTTCTCTTCGTGCATCCAGATCACTTCCATTTTCATTTCTAATGAAAGTGGATTCGGGAAAATTTGTCCCGGATTCGGGCTTGAAGGATTCTGAGCCATATTCTCTCCTTTTCAATCCAGCGATGTTGAAATCAAATTGCTCAAAATGGCAAAACGATAGAGAAAGACAACGTGTGACAGAACCAAGCACGCAAAAGATTTACAGCTTAAACGGTCAGCCCAGAGTTCTTAAAAGTAAACCTTTACTGTGCAGATTTAAAAATTCAAGTGAAACCAAAAGAAAATGTAAAAATATATTGGAGTAAGTTTGATATTCTAAAAGCCATTGATCTGATTTTTGCATGTTCAAATGCTCTAGATCGTGCCTGCATGCATGGGTCCCGCGTTTGACTAGACTAACGAACAAAAGTGCTACTGTGAATGCAACTCCGATTACACCAAGATTAAAATTGAAAAGATCCTGGAACTTAACCCGGCATTGATTTACTTATCTTAAGTATTGAGGCTTGCTTGACTTTCAAGAATCAAACGACTGTGACTGAAGTGGTTTTCAATGGTCAGTTATTTTTTTACGTCTCGTGAGTCACGGTTGTTGTTACAGATTTTAGCAGCTGTAAGGATGCAAAACAGGCAGTTGCTGGTGGCACTGTGCAGCGGGTCGTAACTCGTACTTCACAGTATGTAAACGCTAGTTTTTAGATGGGGGGGGATTTGGCAATGGTCGTTAATTACATGTGGACGTTATACACAGTGGGTCGCTGAGGCAGGTTTGACTATACGTACTCTAACGGCGATTAGGAAACGCTGCAAAAAGACGTTTTGCAGCACATCAGTGTGGAGTTTACACGAAATTGTGTTTGCTTCAAAAGGGAAATGAACTTCCCACGCATTATTGCCGATGTGGACGAGAAGTTGCCCTGAACAAGAAAAGCACAGTGACTGTTTTCTGGTTTAACATACATGTACCTTTTTTGATAGACTCGGAGATCGGCATCCCTGGGACCGGCATGTCAACCCTCATGACCTCTGGCCTGGCTGCTCTTACCAGGTTGTCTGCGTGGTGATGGCTGTGCTCAAAATGAAGGGAATGATGAGCTGTCAACTCATTCTGCCCATACATGTACAGCATGGGAGCAGTCAAACACTGCCCTGGATCATATAAAAAAAAAAAGAGATCGTAAAAATGTAAAATTTTCTCTCCAGCATACAACCTATTTGTATGCCACCTATGATATACCATTCTGACTAAAATATTTTAAAGAACATAAACATAAAACACACAAAAAAATCCATTCGGTATTCTGGGGTTTCTGATGTCTTTTGAACAATGATTTTGAAGAGATGTTATACCTTTCTCCATTACTGCTGGCCCCGATGGAGTCTGTATGCTGCCGTAGTTTGGCAACTCATCTCTGGGCACAAAGTTGTCCAGATTATCCATTTCTCCGACAACTGGGTTACTGTGTCCCAGATTCAAGGTGGGTGCCCAGTCTGGACTGCGCCGATCATACAAAGCTGACGGCTTTCCTGATAAAAATGTATGTGAGATAAAAAGGCATCATCGGGTAAGATTTTAATTACACTTTCTGAACAAAAAATACCTGTATGTAACAGCAGCAAAGTGACTTGTGAGTGAAGCATGGTGTTGGTGCATGACGGGAGGGCTGCGGTAGTTATGCATGGCCGGTTCCGTGGAGGCTGTTCTTTGTTATTTAAATTTCGTTACAATGAATGCACAGAAGTTTTACCTGAGCCTCTCCCAGTGATAAAAAGCCCCTGCCCTCAAAGTCTGCTTTAATTAAGGCATAACCTCTGAAAATGTTTATAATGTTGGATGTTTTGAGATTTTTTTTCAAGTGCATCACATTAGAGAACACCGGGCTGAAATCGAGCCCAATTTCTCGATGTCATTACGTCACTTGACCCCTCATCGTCTTGACGGGTCAAGTGACGTAATGCTCAATGACCTTATTTTAAAGATGGCGACTGAGAGAGAGAGCGAGCCTGTTAGATTGAATGGATAAAGGCAAAAAGACTGGAAAATACCAGAATAACGTGAGTGAAATCATTCAATGAATGATTTTTAGAAAGCGGAAAGGTCAAGAATCATTTTCGTGTGCAAACGAAATTGCGCCAACGATGATAAGTGGGTCCCCCGGAATGTTCAATACGCTGACACGAAACTGCATATACGGATGTGTGGCTAAGGATAGATTGGGAGTGAGAGTCCGTGCCACACAAGTGCAGTGGGGCTACTGCAAAGCCAGTCAGGGCCGAAGTGGAAATGGGGCAAAGTGACTGCAAAGCCCCAAGGGGAATCTACTCAGCACTGCATTGCATGCCTACAAACATGACCACAGCACACGCTTTGAAATTGTAAATGAATTATTTTACATGACAAAAAGTGCCCTCCATCAACACAAGATGGGCGCACTGAGCTTGCAAATGCATGAAGTGAAAACTCACCCACACAAAACTTACCGCCGACAAAATGGTCACTGCACACTCGTAGGTGAATCAGTGTCGACGTTTGGGCTGCCTCCTTGGCCAGCAGGTCGTCGCGGCAAATATTGGTCAACCACCGTGCCCTCCGTCGACGGCTGAGCTCTTCCGTTTTAGCCCCCTGGTGCTTCAAAACGGAGGGCAGCCGGTAAAAAGACACATCCTTGTTTCTTTGTCGACCTTCTGGGAGACGCGAGCGGTGCCTGCATTTAATCACGGAGCAAACGTGCATTCTTACAAACGCTTTCACTGTTTTTAGGATGTAGCTAGGCTAACGTCGACGTACGCACCGTGCCGGGCAAAAGATATAACTTGTGAGATAAAAAAAGGAAACATCGTAAAGGACGCGACAGACAGGGGTCCCTTTTGAAGTACGAAACCTTCTGAACACGCTACCTGCATATATACGTACGTACGCGCGCTGTTGATGTGAGGGCGCTCTACGGACTGGTTGCCTGTCCCTAGCCCTTTACGGACCTATTTACCTAACCTCGTTCATTTTTGTTGAACCTACATGTACATGTACATGTACATGTACACCCGAATACGCGCTCATACAAAACAGGGCAAAATCGGACCGAAATAGCACCATGTGATGACTCTTGTGAAGAGATTGGCTTCCGTTTTTTTTCACTGGAAATTCAAGATTATGGCCGAGCCAGCAGATCACTCTTCGTTTCAATTTGATGGGGGTTACCCACGAAAATATTTTTTTTCGCCTTTTCCCGAAGATACCCCTAAAATAGTGGTAAAACTATGCGCTCAGCTCTGAACGTAGCCACCCGCCTCTATCCAAAATGGGCCCGCAATTTGGGGCTTTTTGTGAAAGAAATACCTAGACCTGGAAACTATAAGTCCCAAATTCGGGATTTATAGAAATATTTCTATGATCCCTCTTGATTATGGCATGCCTTATTGTAAAAACCCCGCGGGATTACAAAATATTATTGAGCTCGCGCGCAGAAATACAACAATTTGGTAAAATGCATCATTTAATATCACCTCGAGCTTCGGTTTCGCATTAAAAATGCCTCAAAACGAAGAAAATCTATCCAAACAGAGAAAACAATTCCAAAAACTGAATACATTTTCTTGTTTTTCTGAAGAAGGATAATGCAGTTTGTCTGTTGCCACTGAATGCGGCAGTGTTTGTGCGCAATGACAATTTTCTTCACTAAATAAACAAAAAAAAAAATTCAAACATCTTCTGCAAAACTGCGGGAAGCAGAGAAAAAAAACTACCAGAAAGAGGACGAACAGACGGAATCGGCCCAAGCTGAAGACAACTGGACATAGAGCTGGACAGCTGACCCGTGATGGCGCGCTTCCGGTTATCCGTCCGGAACCCTCGGATAAGAAAAATAAAGTGCAAAGATTTTAGAATTTGTAATTTTTTTTCGCTCTGTTTCTTCTTTAAAAACCCAACTTGGAAAAAGAGCTTTGAAAAATATTTGCTAGTATATCAATTCATGGAAACTGAAAAATTACTTGACCTAAAAGAGAAATAACCTGCCAAAAATTGATCCATCACTGCCGAAAATCTAAAATACATGAAGAACAGTGCAATACGGCAGTCTCGTACGCAAATGAATATTTACGGTCTGTGGGTAGAAACCAAACTAGAAACAGATCAAAATATTTTACACATTTTCACAATTCATAAGATAATAAACATAAAGCAATATTCTACTTTTACGAAAGATTCTAATATTTTGTCTAACCTTTGCTGACAACAACTGCGTGATGTGAACTCAACGGAATCTGGAACCCATCGACTGCAAGTAGGTTAATCTGCGCAACGTTGTACAATCTCGTTTTCACGTAAACATGGGCAGTGAAAACAAACGTGCATAAACATGGGGACCTGGGGACGTTATCGTCAGACTTGAAAGATCGTTTAAAAAATCGTGTTTTTACCCATCTCCAGGTAACTTTTCCAAAATATTACTTGAGGAAGACAAAGGTGAAATTCCAACGTGAGTGTTTCATGGGGTGGTCTCAGTATGGAATTATTTTTCCAAAAATTATCGAACGTGATAGGACGGCCCAATGTAAAATCCCCAGAGGCGGACCGCGCAAGGGTTCCGGAAGCTCGCTGGGTACATTTGAAGCAAGATATGGGACGGAGAGAACCCCCCTGCCTTCGTGTTGGTCATTGTTTGATCGGAATCTCAGGAATTCTTTACAGACTTCTAGGGGGGATGTGTTAAGTAACAATAGTCTACAGTGTTGTATAGGGATTGGACAGGTAAGGGGGGGGTACCCCTTCCGTCCCATATCTTGCCTGGTATAGCTTCGTGACCTTTTACTGTTATCGAGGTGCACTCTACTGAGCTGCACGAATTCAGAGAGCGTAAATACATTGCCCACCGGGTACAGTACATTGAACGCAGCTATGCGCGCGGTCATCACTGATCTCTATACCCTGGGGCAAAGTTCATAGAGCTGCTTAATCACAAAATTTGCTTAAGCGCGAAAAAACCTTGCTTGACAAATCAGGTTACCAGCCAATACTCCATGTTATGTATAATGTTTTGGAATGGTATTCACCTGTCTGTTGGTCGGCATGACAATCACTACATCAATTTAGAGCTGGTAACCTTTGTTTTTTTAAGCAAGGTTTTTTGCGCTTAAGCAATTTTGTGCCTATGGAATTGGCCCCTGGATAGGCAGCTCTGCTCTGCTCTGCAAGCTGAGGCGATTGTGCAGCAATCTTAGGCTCTTCAATACAATGACAGTCATGTCACCGACTTTAGCGCCTTGCATGCATGCACTTAGGGAATGGACTGAAGTTGAAGTTGTATTAAATATCCTAAGATTGCCGCGCGGTTGCTTCAATTCACACATAGGCAGTTACTGCTGAGATGCCTATAGCCAGAGATTTTTGGAATGGCCTGGTTAATCTGTGCCCGTATCATATTGGTCGAAGGCATCTCTTATGAAAGCTTACCCCAAATCACCAGATACGGCAACAGTGTCTTTATTAGTATGGAGAATTCAAATTATGTTCACTTCATTTTTAAAGAACATAGTGTACCGATTTTATTTAAATTTAATTCGCAAAAGGCCACTTTAACGTCTATACCAGGCAAGATATGGGACGGACAGGTACCCCCCCTTACCTGTCCAATCCCTAAACACACTCTAGACTATTGTTACCCAACACATCCCCCCCAGAAGTCTGTAAAGAATTCCTGAGATTCCGACCGAACAATGACCAACACGAAGGCGGGGGGGGGGGGGTTCTCTCCGTCCCATATCTCGCTTCCAATGTTAGCGTCCTCCAAGCCTTGAACAATAAAAAGCGCCATGTGGTTCGACATGCACGCTTGAAAGATTCCCATAAGCACCCCCGTAATGTTAGACACCTGAAGTTGTTTCCAGATCAGTGAACCAAGCAGCGCTATCACGCGATGGCTTGATAATAGCATACGGGAAGAACGTAGTTTGAAGTCAAACTTCAAAATGGTGCGTTGTACAGGAACCTTTCTTCTCCAACTGCTAATGGTGTGTCCACTTACGGCACCGGCACATGGAGACCAGTATGGTGCGGGGAATTCAGAGGTGGGCGTCCAGGTCCGAGCGCGCCGGGCCAGCACGGATTTGACGGAGGCACAGCGCCAGGCTTGCGTGGCCAGACAAAACGAGCTTCGGGCCCAAGTCTCGCCAACAGCAACCGACATGGGACCTACGGTAAGCACGTATGCATCGTTTGAAAGAAAAAAAAAAGCAACACACAAAAACCTATGCGACATTAAAAAAATCCTGTCATGCATTCTTCTGAAGTACGGAATTTTTTGGACAATGCTTGCAGTCATGCGAAAGATCGAGATTCGCGAAACAAGACTTGAAGGCAGATTAGTATAAACTATGAGATTCTCATACTTGCTACCCCCTAAGAAAAAGTTATCTGTTGAATGAACTTCTGTTATGGCACAAAGATAGATATAAAAAGCAAACTATATAACAAATAAAAACCTAACTTCTGCGCAAGGAATATAAAAATGAAATGGTGGTGCGAACCAGCCTGAGTTCCAGCAAAATGAAAGTATATTATTTGAATAATAAAATAATTTTCCCTGGCCGATTTCGGAAAATGCGCTGTTTAATTCGTAAAATGAAAATTCAATTTGGCGCAGTTAATTTTGAAAACGACTTAAAACCTGGTATCATTTTCACAATACGAGCATTTGACTTCGTTTTGCATCAAATGAATGTTTCATTTAAAAGCAGTTACAGATACGTGATTAGGATTTTGATTTAAGCTTATAAATAATCAATGTGCAATCTTATTCACTGAAAATTTGTCTTTAATTAAACCGCAGGTATGCAGTATTCATTTTCATTTGTTGTAATTTCAATTCACAAATTTGTTTGATTTGATTAGAAATATTTAGGGTCAGAGATATCATGACACTACTTTGATACTGAATGTAGGATTATAGAGTGTTTGTTATCAAACTGTACCCCAATTAAAGTCAATGATTTTTCTGTATCTTCCCGTTCAGCCATTGCAAGAGGGCCATGTTTGAACTTTAATGTGATTGTGGCAAAAACGTAGCACGAGAAGGAAAGTTTACCTCAGCGTTGGTGTTTGTAGACGATTCGTACAATAGTCGGTGTTTTTAAAAACAACATGAACGGTCTTTTTAAATCATGAATATTCAAACATTTATCCATTCAACTTTACACTGCTAAGAATATAGCTTTTGTTAGCACAGGGTAAAAAACCAGAGATAAAACTCACTGAGCTAAAAGGCTCTGGAAACCTTATGGCTTGGCAAGTTAGTTAAATCGGTTATCAAAGAAGTGGTCAAGTATTAACCGACTGTAAACGACGCTGTGAAGCACACAGGCTAGAATTGCCACACCCAAGGCCATCTACGCCCTTTTTGTGAATTTTACCTCCTTGCATTCTATTCAAATAAGCCTTATTCTAATGAAGCTTGCCCAAGCGTTGACCTTGCAACGTACAGACAGACATTCTCTGCTATACTTCGCAACGCATAGTTCATTCTGCTATGTGATGAAATCAAACCTGCAGAAGCCTTTGAATTCGTTGATTTTCCTCTGTTGCACCCGAGATTTTTTACAAGTATGTGAAACTCATGAAGCTAGCGTTGAACTGAAGGCCGTCCTGATGGTCATTAGCTTGCAGGGATTTTCAAGCCAGATTCACTTCAATCTGGTTCGCGCTATGACTTTATTCTGTCACAACGATACATTTCTTAACCCAACGTCGACGAGTACGAGTAGGGTTGAATGGTGTCGATAGAAATCATTCTCCATTACCATCCATAAATAATCGGTAGTGGCTTCTGTGTACACGAAATGACGATGTTACATAAAATGATTAATATTGAGTTTAAAGACTTTACTCTTTTGGCTTTACCAGATTATTATATCTTTACAAAAATATGGGTATATCTTCAGACAAATAGCTTCAACGGTTTATGTTGCACTCTATGTTGGCAACACGCCGTGCGGCATCTGCACGTCAGACTACGGCATTCTCTGGTATCGAACACTGGCTACGGCTTTTCACCGTTTGATCAAAATTCGAAGCTGTAATCGTTGGAGGCAGGACTGGAACATGGCTGCCTTGCCATACGCCACAGCATGCAACCCCACGTGGTAACTATGCATTGTAATACATCGACAGATTGCCTGTTTATAAACTGTGAAATATTAATAAAAAAAAAATTAACCCATCGAAAAAAGTTGCCAGACGTTCCAAGTAGTTTCGAAACTAAAAGGCCTTGGCCAGACTACAAACAGAATAATTCTCAATTATGCCGAATATTCGATCGATTATCGAATATTTGAATACGCATTTTTCGAAATCCAATTTTCGGGAGTGACAAATAGTCAATGACATGAAAAAGCAACAACAAAAAATTAACTATGTGGTTACAAAAGTGCCTTTCAAAACTAAGTGGCAATTGATGACATGTCCAAATAACTTTTTAAAAAGTCTCCGTTTGACTCATGAGGGCCCTTGTCTCGAAACTTATCGAGTCTGTTGAGATTCCTGAACGTCACAAATTTATTCGTGCCCGTTCGTTCGGGAATTTCGATGATGAACACTTCAGACCTGACCTTGCCAAGTTACCATGGTGCCTGCTGAGGTATGCAGATGGTCACAATACGGCTTAGAATATTTTGAAAAACATGATTTTAGCTGTTTGTGACCTACACTGCCTAGAAAAAATCTCAAAGTTTTTGTGAAGAAAACTATCTGGATCAACAGAGATTAACTTGAGCTGAGGAGAAACTCGGTAAAAGCTTAACACAGGCCAATATAACAGGAAATCCGCTGCTTTTTAGGCCTACAAAATTGCTTCGGAACATAATAATCTGGGTATTAAACTGAAGTGAAATCACTACCATACGACAATAATTCAAGCCAATTCACAAAATGCTACAAGAATGCGGTCGGGAACTAAGGATTTGTTGCCAGATAGCAGAAGTGTGCTGATTTTTTTTCAGTGAGAGTGAATAACAGAAAATTGATCTGGCTTACCGTTTTTATGCACATTTTGCCCACGTGGGCGAAGCAAAAGACAAATTGTTTAATTCAAGCTTGGATTATGTAGACAGTAATCACAACAATAATAACAATCAGACTGGTAATGAACAAACTAAGGTTTCTGAAGGTCACGAGTTATTGCAGAAAATTCCACTCGGAAAAGCTTACGGTATGGATCGAGTACATGGCCGTTTCTTGAAAGCCGCGGCTTCCATCTTAGCTGAACCGTTGGTTTCTATTTTTCAACTAAGTTTGAACAGTGGTGTTGTGCCGGACGATTGGAAGAGAGCCAAAGTCACCTCTATTTAGAAAGGTGGCTCTGTTCACGACTGTAGTTAATACGGGTAATAATATCTGTCATTTCAGTTGTTATGAAGGTCTCCGGAACGTTTTGTTTATAGCCAGCTTTCCAATTTTCTTGATAACAATTGTTTAGCGCAGCGACAGTCCAGTTTTAGACCTTTCCTCTCAACAAACGATGCATTGATTGACGTTGCAGATTCAATTTTTACAAACTGAATGGGTTCCCCAGTATAAATTGGAAACAAATTTTTAACAAAATATATTTCGAGTAAATAATGAGGCAGACCACAACACAAACATGCATATTTTGCTTAAACTTTTGTGGAAATAATTATTGGCGTAACCGAGTATTCGAACAGAATCAAGGTTAGATATGGAAATATTCAATTGTTGGAACTGACCCAACCTGTGGCTCAGTAGTACGGTTTCTATAGCCAGCAAGATACGGGACGGACGGGTACCCTTCTTACATGTCCAATCCCTATACACACTCTAGACTATTGTTACCTAATAACCCCCCCCCATGTCTGTAAGACTTCAAAAGATTCCAACGATCAACACAAAGGGGGTGGTAGTGGTGCGATATCTCCGTCCAATATCTGGCTTCACAGTCGGTTTTAAGCTTCAAAAACTAGTGATGGAAGGTCACCGCCGCTGGGATTGCTGGGGCAATGCCATAATAATAGGTCCAGACATTCAACAAATTCAAAAGAGAACCCAGTACTTGCCAGGCTCAACACACAAATACACACGTATACCCACACACCCAGTTTGGCAGCACGGCCTGAAGGCTTTTTCTAGCTGTGGCGAATAAAAAGCTCACGGAAACTGCAAATATCCCATAGAAGAGCCATCAATTGCTGTTATCTAAAGCGTAACTGTCGAAATTATCGTTGTGAAGTATACTTGGTTTGAACCTAGATGGCTATCGTGTAACTATAAACTCCCCGAGATGTAATTTTCTTCTTGCCAGCTATTTTTAAAGAAAATAGTGAAAGAAGGCTATTTCCAATATTGCATCTAAAGACGCATAATTTGCAAAAAATTGTCCTTGAACCACGCGTATGCGTTGACACCCGACAAGCGCAAGACTAGTGGTGTTACACACGTCGGTACAGTGCAGGGGCGGTGCAGTCTTTGCACGCTGCCGTCATATCCATGCAGAGCCTCGATCTGGCAGCTTTTCACAATAAAATAGCCGGTTCAGTGATTCTCGTGTGTGTTTCTAAGTATTTTTTCGCGGACTGGCCTGAGCTGCGTTAGTTTTTACCGAGCAATTGGGCAATATTTCAAATGCTGCGTTGACGCTATTCTGACACGATTGTTCAAGTTGCCAATTCGAGGCTCTGCATCATGATTCCCATGGTGGCAGCGTGCAAAGATCGAATTGCGGAGCCACATGCAATGGAACCATGCAATAACGTGTCCCAGATGCTGAATTCAGGCGAAATTCAAAACGTGACTCAGCAACTTTTGGGCTGAACTCTCGGAATATAATCGCCGAGGTGAAACAGGTTTGTTCCTTGGCAAACCTTCTTTAGATTTTCAGTAATTTTGTTGCCTCAAAGGAACACATAATGCACGATGACAAATGATGGAATATGCCAATAGGAGGTTAAATCACTCAGTTTCTAACCCGCTAAATAAAACCTCATACGAAATTTACGAAATTTGAAATCAAGTTTATACATCATTGCCGAGCAAACCAGTCGTACAAACACACCACGATGTTAGAAGTGACCTCCCTCGGTAATCGGGAATCAATTTGTAAAAGGACGGTAAACGTACATATTTTGTTATAAAAACCAATACAGATGGCTTTGGCTGAATCCAATGTTGCGGGGTGTGGCGTCCATCACTGTCCCGAGGGTGTTACTTTAACCGAATCACCCAATGCAACGTATGTCTTGAACGGCCAGGCAGCTTGGATGGTCACGCGTGGCTACTTTCCTGCGTAAGTATCCATATACTAGAGGCTAGTTCCCTGTCATATCGAAAAAAATATGCAAGACTATGCCTACCACCACTGGAAACCTGACTTCACAGGCTGGGTTCGTGATGTCTGACGTCAGAACAGCCATAGGTCGAATGAAATTCACCCTTTCACAGAGTCGTTGCTATTTGACTCTGAATGACCCAACGACCCAACCCACTCCACTGCAGCTCAACAAGCAAACAAGAAGCAACCTTAACTGTGAGACCGCCAACAGCAATTTCTTTTCTCTTTTGACATAATAGGGGTAATTCTCAAGGGGTAAAACCCTACATTTCAGGGTCAAGCTGTACCCAATGCAGCTCTGGGGTCGGTTACTGTCTGAACAACACCTGCGGTGAGTACTCCAGTCTCACAACGATTTCATTGTATACTCTTTCATTACCCAGCTTTTCAATAGTAAAGAGTGATTCACTGCATTCCCTCACGGGGAATGACTCGTCACGGAGTTCAAAGGCGCACTCTCATCGTACTGGTTTGCTTCCTAATGCACAAGTTGGAATTTCATAAGGTCACTTTAGTCAACCTCGACCCCATGGGCTACGTGCGCGTTCCTTCAAAGATCGCAAAGGGCACGAGGCAAGGTCGTACCCATGGGAAACGAGGTTGCACTTTAGTACACTGCCGTCGCTGGATGGCGCTATTTGAACAATGTTAAAGAACACCCATCTATTGTAATATGTACATATACAAATTGTATATATTCAGAGTGTATTAAAAAAAGGTAATCCAATTTTAGGGGGTCAATATGAGTATGACAAGGTTAATCAGGTTGCTGTGTGTGGTTCTCAGCTTTCCATTGATATCTCCATTGCCCAACTTCTGTCACGCATGACCCGAGTACATTGTTATTGAAAATGGCAAGTCCAACTATCTTTTGGCAAGTTTGAGGAATTTTGGGCAAAAAGGACTGTTTGGTTGGAAATTCGTGGGTTCTTCAGACAGCTCAGATGGGCCCAGGACGGAACGCCATGCACATCGCCTTATTGCGGTCCCAAATCATCGGAGAGAACTCTTTGGAGAACGAGTCATTGCTTTCAATCATGGTATGGAATGGCCGCCAAGGTCAGCTGACATCACGCTATGTGATTATTTTCGATGATTTCCCATTGTTCAGTTAAACTCCTCCCCATGATCTTGATGAACTGCAGATCCGTACTGAAAATGAAGCGGATGCTTTGTGCAGTGATCCGGCTATGGTGAGGGGAGCAATCATTACATGCTATTACTCCAACTACGAAGGGCGGCGGCAAGGTGGGGAGCACGTGCCCCCCCTCTCGCGGATGCCCATACCCCCTGGTGACCCCCCCTTTGAAATCTCAATTGAGTTTAAATCGTTATGAAGCTACGGCTTATTTTCCAGTGGTGCTCCCTTTTAAAAAAAATGTGAGCACCTGGGTTCTCCCCCACCGGAAATTGGCCCCTAGTTACGCCACTGGCCCCATCGCTGTCGGCTTTGTGTCGACACGTTGAGGGTGTGAGGGCATAAAATGGCCAGTGTTACTGCCGTCAATACTGAAGGAAATCAGGTTCCTTCAACTGGCTTTCAACGATCATCCTGGCTTGCAATGATCGCCCAAACTTGCAAAAATGGGATTCAGACTTGCCCTTTTCAGTAACGATGTACTCAGTCATACGTGAGTGAAGTTGGGCAATAAAGTTTAATCAATGGAAAGCCGGAAAGTTGCTTTTAATTGGTCATCAACATAAATAACTTGTCAACCTGATTAACCTTGGCATAACAAACCTCTCAAGTTTGATTACCTTTTCTTGATACGCACTTGTGGATTGCTAAAAATGTCAGAGGATTTTTTTCTTCCCGAAAAAATTCGTTCATCGCTCAATTATACACTCAAGTTTCGGGATTCCTTCGGGATGTCACATTTTCACTTCTGAAGACCGTCCGTATCATCAAGAGTGGAGTAATTTAATTGTCAGCCCTGAAGGAGATGAAAAACATTTCTTCCTCTTTTGATACATTGCCAGAAAACCCAACGACTACGGCTGCGTCCCTGAAAGAGAGCTCTTCAACGACTGCACCCCCAGACTTGATCTCTTCAACAACTGCATCCTCGCCTCCTATCACTGCCACGGCGGCAGTTTCACCGCCAATCACTGCCACCACTGCAGTGTCGCCTCCTGCCACTGCTGCACTCTCGTCGCCAATCACTGCTACGGCTGCAGTTTCACCACCAATCACTGCCACGGCGGCAGTTTCACCACCAGTCACTGAAACGGCTGCAGTGTCGCCGCCAATCACTGCCACGGCTGCAGTTTCAACACCAATCACAGCCACGGCTGCAGTGTCGCCGCCAATCACTGCCACGGCTGCAGTTTCAACACCAATCACAGCCACGGCTGCAGTGTCGCCGCCAATCACAGCCACGGCTGCAGTGTCGCCGCCAATCACTGCCACGGCTGCAGTTTCACCACCAATTACTGCAACGGCTGCAGTGTCGCCGCCTGCCACTGCCACTGCTGCAGTGTTGCTGCCTGCCACTGCCACGGCTGCACTCTCGCCGCCTATCACTGCCACGGCCGCAGCTGCGACGCTGATCACTGCCACGGCCGCAGCTGCGACGCTGATCACTGCCACTGCTGCAGTGTCGCCGCCGATCACTGCCACGGCTGCAATTTCACCACCAATCACTGCCACAGCTGCAGTGTCGCCGCCTGCCACTGCCACGGCTGCACTCTCGCTGCCTATAACTGCCACAGCCGCAGCTGCAATGCTGATCACTGCCACTGCTGCACTCTCGCCGCCTATCACTGCCACGGCTGCAGTTTCACCACCAATCACAGCCACGGCTGCAGTGTCGCCGCCAATCACTGCCACGGCTGCAGTTTCACCACCAATCACAGCCACGGCTGC